GGGGCCCCGGGGCAGTTTGGGGGGCAGCAGGGAAGGCTTGTGGGGAGTGAAGTGGGATCTAGACACTGGAAGCAGCAAAGTTTCTCTTGCAGCAGGAAACCCACTTTGGGGCCAGCTGGATTCCCCGCTCCTATTGGCAAAGTGGCAGGAGGAGGAGGATAATTGGAGGCCCAGCAGCCCCCCCCCCCTCTTCCCCGCCAGGGTCTCCTTACTCACCAAGTTCACTTGGGCCGAGGCCTTCCTCTGGGTCAGGTCAGGAGTGGTTAACCCGGGTGCAGCTGGCAGCAAATTCCGCAGGCCCCATGCTTTGCAGTTACTATTGTTTGGTTTGGTTTGTTTTTGGGGGGGCAGGGTGTTTGATTTCAGGGTGTTTTGGGGGGGGGAGGCGGGGGTCTGCAAGCAGAAAAGGGATCCAGCCAGGGAAAGCCTACAACTAACCCTTTCCTCCCAAACCCCGGCCTGCCTGACTCTTTCTTTAGCTGCAAACTCCAGGAACTCAGGATAATACAGATGATTAAATAAATAACCAACCCTCCCTTGCTGCCCCCTGGAGCTCAGCTCCTGCAAAGCAACCGCAAAAACAGGGCAGAGATCCAAGCCCGCCGTCCCAGCGTGGGATCCCTGCTGCTGGTCCCCCCCAATCCAGCCAAGCGGCTCTGTTGACCTGGTCCCACCTTGCCATGGTCCATGTGCCGTGTGATCTGCTCCCCATTGGGAGCCGGTGGCATTTCACGCCCGCTCAGTGCTGCCTCAGATGCCTATGGCAAGGTGTAGGGCAGTGGAGAATTGGGCCCTTTCACCCCAATGCTTCGTGTCAGTGCTGGGTGACCCCCAGGATGCCTGGCATGTGGGGTTCGCCTGGGCTAATTCGGTCCTTCAGTTCCCCACAATCCCTCCCGTCCCAGCCCCACCCCAGGCCTGCTGGAACAATTTGGATAGTGGGGTGCTGAGAGGTATTTAACCAAACTGTAAACCCTGTATATGATGGAAACCACTTCAAGACGGGGGGGGTGCGGCAGCACCCCTACTTCCAGCACCTATACCCCACCATGAACTGTCCCTCCACCCCAACCTTCTTTCTCCCCCTCCTGCCCTCACCCCCACTTTGAACAGACATTTCCACGCTTCCCAGCTCCAACCTGTCAGGATGGGTTTGTCTTTCCTGGAGTCACAGATTCGAAAGCCAGATGGAATCACCAGATCTTTAAGGCCAGAAGGGCCCATTTACAGGCCGTTCCATTTCACCCAGATACCCCTATATTAATCCCAAAGACTCTAGTTATACCAAAGCGTTTCAGGCCCGAGGAAACTAAACTGTACACCACAGGCAGAGAATGGGAGCGACCAATCAATCAATCAGGGGGACTGGGCTCAGAATGCCTGGCTTCTATGCCCAGATCTGCCACCGACTCGGTCTTGTGCCTCAGTTTACCCATCCATGAAATGAGGCTATTGTCTATCTCTCTGAGGGCTAAGAGGCTTCACTTCATGGAAGTGCAAAGTGCTATCGTTAATATTATTATACCAGCCAATTGTATTATATAACATCGGGCATGTGACGTTTGTGGTTATTCTGCAGGCCAAACGTCTGTACGTATCACAGGTCCAGACACTCACTGAGCATTCTAAGAGTCTGTAGGGCCTAATTTTTAAGCCCGAACCAGACCCGAATTGGACCCAAGCCCATCTAACCCAAGCGGGTCAAGTTGTTTTCTTACCTGACTCATCCCCCTGAACCTGAGTCAGCACCGCCACCTCCTTCGGGCTTACATTGGCCCGTCTCTCCTCCTGTCCATGGGGTTGGCACCGCGGCGGTTGCATTCAATAGTGTGCCCCAGTCCTGCCATCCACCGCCCCTGGCTGCGCTGTGCGTGCTGCAGCGTGAGTGACTCACAGCAGCAGGGTGGGGCCGACCCACTGGGCGGGAGGAGGAGAGCCGAGCCCGAGAGAATCACCTCGATTCCCTGACCTGACCCGACCCCGATGCCTGTAGTCGCGTTTGGGTCAGGTTGCCGGGCTCTTGTGTGTCCTGGCAGCTGTGCCTTCCCCACGACGCCACATTACAGATCTCCCACAAAATCAGACACCCCCCACGGTGCTCTGCGCTGTACATACATGATTATTTATCCTTTCTATTGCCACAGAGCTTCGGAACTCCAGTGATGCTCCAGGAGCCCTATGCCACTCGGTGATGTACAGACACAGAACAGAAAGATGGCCCCTGCCCCAAAGACCTTCGAATCTAAATATAAGACACAAGACAACAGGTAGAGACAGAAGAGAAGGAAACAATGAGACAGTATGGGACAGCATGGTCAACAACGGTCTCTGCATGTCAGCTGCCTAACTGTCGCCAAGTTTTTTGTCTGCATCCTGGCATAGGAGAGTTTTCAATACATGGAGTAAGAGACAGTCCATGCCCTTGTTTAAATAGCCAGGGTGGAAACAGAGAGGGGAAGTGACTTGCCCTAGGTCACTTAGCAAAGCAGTGGCAGAGCCAAGACTATATCCGAGGTCTCCTGATTCCTAGCCCAGTGCCAGTTCCAGCAGAACATACTGCTTCTCATCTTGAATTTGAGCTGTTTCTGCTAAAAGAAGCGAGCAGGTGAACAGAATAATAAACTACTACACTCCCTGCACGCACGCGCGTGCACACACACACACACTCTCTCTCGTATTGTTAAAGAAACTCATGCTCAGGAACATTGTGCAAAGCAAACCAACTTCCTTCCTGGTCAGAAAATGCCCATGACCGTTGGTCATACGAGTTGGCTCGAACACCAGGGCTATTTTCTGATCAGCAGTGAGTTGGGTAGTTGCAGGGCCGCCAGCTCTTGTGATATTATCACAAAGTCTCGCGATATTTGGTGTTTTACTTAAAGCCCCAGCTCCTGGAGGGAAGTGATTAGGAGACAATCTTTTTCTTAAAGCAAGCTCTGAGCCCTCACGGCTGCAGAGAAGATCTTGAAAGCGTGACTCCCAGAGGCACAAAATCCAGAAGGTGACTACAAAGCACCCCCAAATTATTTTTAAATCTCATGGTTTTGAAGCCAATCTCGTGA